TTAATGTACTGGGGGGGTTACATATTGAGGGGGGGAAGTGTTCCCCCTGATGTATATTCTAATTACAGCCTTGTTACAGAACAAAACATCATTTTAGAATATTCAAATCAGTCAGGATCTCTGCTGCTTTAAGTGCATCTTGGGAAAATGCACTGATGTCAGTTTAGTGCACAGCCAGAGTTAAGCCACCACAGAAAGATAAGATGAAATTTGATTCAGCAGACTATTTTTGTTCTGTTTCTGTTTAGAATGTTGCAAACAATGAAGACTTCTCTGGAAAGTTGCAAGGATTATAATTTAAAGCCCTCGGAGGAGGCTGCACAAAAACAAGCTGAGTGCTCCAACACAGAGATGCTCGAGCTCCGACAATCAGTGGTCAAAAAATCACCATAACTGCTCCAAGAATGCCTTTGCAGGGAAGAAATGGCTGCAAAAATAATGGTTGGTGTTCTGAAAAATTACAGACATGTCCAAAGGAGTAATAGAACTGTGGTGTTTCAAAGAAGGATCCTGTTGTTACTGGAAATTTGTATGAAAAATTTCACACTGTGGACAAGCATTTTAGTTTTTACACAAGGTAAACCATGACCAAAACCTTACTCTAACTTTAATTAAACAGTTTTACCTAACATTTTTGATGGAGCTCAGGGTAGTTCTGTGACAATAATAAGAGTACAACAAACATTTGTAGGGTGTGATAGTACATTTTGTGCTTTTTGTAACACAACATGCAAAAAAAACAGCAGAATATTCTCAAGTATTTTAGCTTTGTCACATCTCTCTAACAGTTACAGTGTGTTGATGTGAAGTTGTGAGGCTAATTTTGAAATCAAAAATGACCAGCTTGTTGGTGTGCTTGCTTGGGAACACAAGTCTGTTATCCTGCATAAATAATATCATCACAAATAATATCATTTGCACTGCATTCACAATACATTAGAACATGTGGCTCAATCAGCAGTGAAACAAAGGTTTTCCTAGCTTTTTTGACTCATGAAATTTAATGTGAAAACATTGGAAGGAATAATGTTCAACCCACTCCTTTTTGAATCCCTGCAACATTGTCATACTTTAAGATAGGCACTTAATTCAACTGATCTTTTATTTAAAAGGGCCACCACTCTACGTTTGGTAACGATTAAAGGAGAAATTCAAATTTCTACTTTTATTCATTAAGAAGAAAAGAAATAAAATGGCATTGTTCTCAGTGGTCTGTGTTAACATTACTTGTCTTTAGCGAATATAATGAAACTGACACTGCAGGATGAATAAAAATATGTCTACATAATTCCTTTCATTGCTTCATTTAATCGCTGGAGAGTGAGACACAGCAGCAAACCAGCTTCACTGTGCTCTGTCTGCTGTGGGGAAATATGCAAACCTAATGCTACTGACTGAACATAAGCTCTCTCTCAGCTCCATAGATACTGATACTAACATAGATGTGAATGTGTGAACAGCACAGAGATATGAGTTTGAGTGCTGAGTGTGGTTGACATGTAGTGTAAATGAGCATCATACTAAGGAATGCCAACATCCAAGCATCATAGCAACCACAGCTTAACAACCAAATGACACCCTAGCACCTTAGCACTAAAACATTAGGCACTAATGCTTTTACGTATCCCAGTAAGACACCCAAGATTTCCTGTTTTGTGTTTTGCACCTAACAATATTCAGCAGTCTTTGGATGCACATGCTCAATGCTGCTGTTCAGTTCATCTTCAATGGACTTCCTTCTTTGTAATTTGTTGAATCAAGTTAAAATGATTTCTTCTGCTGTGAGGTTACACCCCAACCGGTTCTCCCTTTCGGCAGTAGAAAAGGTTACTCAAAATCCTGACACAGAGAAACTTAGCACCAGGTTTTATGGGGCCCTGTCAATCCCAAATAATGAGTATGTGGGTCGAATCAGATCTCTTTGGGAAGCTGATTTTGGAGAGGCTGTTGAGACTGATAAGTGGGACAGTATGTGGCTGTGCACTTCGGGTTGTTTATTCACCAACAAAGCTAGGGAGTTGCAATTTAAGGCCAAATAAAGGCTCCAGATCAGAGATGGGGACTCGAGTCATTGTGACTTGGACTCGAGTCGACTCGAGTCGCTGTTTTGATGACTTGTGACTTGACCAAAAATAAAAGACTTGAGACTTGACTTGACACGATGACTTGAATGACTTGAGTGTTATTCACATGTGTTTTTGGTTAGAATATAAAATTAATAAATTAATTTAAAAAATAATGTTGATTACCCGGTAGGAGCGCAGGCTGAGAATGGCGTTGTCATGATTGGATTACTACCCTGTCAATCAGTCATGCCCTCTCTATGTACCTTACGTGTTTATTGGAGAAACATGCCCTCTTATATCAGATAGGCATCAACATGTCAGCGGGAGGGGTACCGAGAGTCATCGTCTTCGGCTTTCGGAATTACCATTATTACGGCAAAAGACGAACAGCACAGTGCAAGACATGCGACATAAACATCTCGGACAGCCAGGCGACAACTTCAAACTTTGTTCGTCATTTGAAGAGCCATTCTGCCCAGTAAGTGCTCGTCAATTAGCTAATATTATCTGGTTAGTCGGTAGTTAGCTAACGTTAGCGTGACATGATACGGGGGTGGGGTGGGGGGATGGGTTGGTTTGGTGGAACTTGTTTTCATCATCACAAGACCGGCTGTACGTTTTATGAACGAGCAACACAGGGTTAAATGAGCTAAATGGGTGATTTTGGCTGCTGCCTTGGTTAGTGTGTGTGTGTGTGTGTGTGTGCGCGTGCATACATGGGGGTCGTCCCTGCAAAGTAAACATTGCAGCGATGAAGTCAATGTTTACTGACAGTTACTTATATCTTGTCTTTTCACTTTATTAAGGTCAGATTCTGCAGGTAAAATTACAATAATAAGGTGCAATAAATGTAAGGGTCTCAAGGGTCGTATTTCCATTGTATCTTTGACTGCTCCCTTATTAAGGACTTCTGGGTCAAAGTGTGTAAAGAAATTGATTTTATTTTTAAGAAAAAATACAGTCAGAAGCCCTGAACCTTAGCCCCTCTTCACTGAGGCTGCTTAAGGTCCTTCTTTTTAGTGCAAGGAGTGTGTTATTCTTCAGTGGATTTCAGATACTGTCCCTATGGTTTCATATTGGATCTGGAGCACTATGGAACTCATACCTTTAGAAGCTATGAACTTCTGGCGCAGCCGTTCAGGGACCCTTTTCTGGACTATATTGGAAACGATGGGGCCCGGGCCCTCAGGAGTGGACTGTATGGACTAGCATGGACTGAGGTCTCGAGAAACATCTCTGTGTACTGTAGGTTTATGTGCTCAATATGCCATTATCTCTTCAACATACCTGATTACCCCTGAGATCTGTGATGCTGTGAACCCCTAATTAATTTTTTATTTTGTTGTGTTGTTTGTTTTTTCATACTCTTTGATTGATTTTTTTAAACTTTTTTTTCTCTTTTCTTTCTTTCAAGTGCCGAGAATGTGTTGTTAGTTAGGCAATAAGTTGTCATGATGATGATCCTCATCTCAATAGATATAATCGATAAAGAAAAAAACAAAAAACATCCCCTTAACATTTGAAAAAAGTCTGCATTTATCTTGTAACCATATTAATATTTCTTTGAACTGTCTTATATCAAACACGCAATATAACAAATGTAAGGACAGTTTTGTAACTACACATTGCTGCAGCATTGTGCCACAAGGCCATTTTCCATCTCTTCAGACATCACCTGCTAGCAGCTTGTGCTGCTACACAAACATTGTATGCACTGAATGTCCTGGTATGTATTGTTTTCTTTCTTAAGGTCTACAGCACTGTGAAGAATCAAATATGACAACTTCACGACTAAAGTTCCTTTCTTTATTTCCCTCATCCTCCACTTAATCCCTCTCTTTCTTCTTCTTTGCTTTTTATTTTTCCTGCCGTCTTTTTTTCACTTTCTTGATAAATGTTCCATCGAGCATAAATATTTCACCGCCACATGCAAGTTTGATGGGGACGCCACCATTCTCCTGTCTTCTTAGGATACAGCCTAATTGTGCCATGTGCAGCCACCTCAACACAAAGCGGTAAAGAGAAGGACATATAGAGTGTGTGTGTGTGAGGTGTTAGAAGAGGTCAGGGGTCACTGGGACATGTGTACACTTCCTAAACTGTACAATAGGCCTACTCTACTATACCGTTGTATTGCGTGTGTGTGTGTGTTGAATATAACCAGGTAATCCGGTGTAAACCTGCTCATCTGTGAAAGTGATTCGGACTCCAGCCTGTCCTCTGCATGTGTAATTCCTCTGTGAGCATCATTACTGCCTTGTTGATTAGTGATGCTCTTATTCGTGTTTGTCAAATAGTCGGCAGTGACTGCACGAGGCAGCGCTGCAGGGTGTGAGTGGAAAACAATCTGTGGAAAACAAAATAAAATATGCATATGATACTTGTGAGAACATTTGACTGTTTGACGTTGTCGTTGTCATTTCTCATCTTGTTCTCCTCTTTGATTCTCACCTCCATTTGCATCTTGATCTTGGCTCGTTTGGACACAAATGTAAACACTAACAATAGTGTTTTACACATCAGAGATTGCAGTATTTATTTATTTATTTTATTTTTATTTTTTTCACCCACTGAGTTGAATTTCATATCATATTCAGGGGATCACTGCAGAAACTAATTTGCATGTGAAATATATGACACTATGCATACTCAGGCAATATTAATTCCCTAAACTGTAATTTAAATGAACTTCATGCATACCTTCATATAAACCTAACTTTATCCCCAAATCCAAATGTCAGACCAATCCTGAATTCAAATAATTCACCAGCCCTAAAACATCTGCACACAATCTTCTTTTTATTCTTTCCTAACTACTCTTTGGTCCTCATTACACACACGCGCACTCCACAAACACATGCTCCCCTGCACACACAGGTGTCGCTTTCCAGCGCGATGAATCTGCAGATGCAGCCTCACCGCATTCGGCGTACAGCGGCTGACGTCAAGAGCCGAGCGAAGTGAGAGGAGTTGAAATAGGACAGAGCAGGAGCGGAGCGCTGAGAGGAAAACCAGCCGGAGGAGCTGAAGGATGGCGAGCCGCTGCTGAGAGTTGGGACGCGCAACCCCGTCGCTACAAAACGCAGCTGCCACTGATACACCAGCCCACGTAATTCATCTGAACCCCTTTTAAAACCCTGCCGAGCCGGAGGAGAGGAGTGGGAACTAAAAAGAGCGCAGTTTGGTCACGTCGCTGCGAGGAAAAATCTGTGGCACATTTGCACCAGTTTCCCTTCATTTCTGCCCTCTTGCCTCGGAATACCACAGGTAAGGAGGGAGCTGTGTTTACTGATGCAGGATAGAGGGCTCAGAGGGTGCTCACAGGCGCATTTTATTGTGTTTTACAAGTTTGGGTGCTCTGGGTGCATGACGCTGCTGTATCCGTCACTATTTGCATTGGAGTGTGAGTGCATAGAAACTGCAAAGATGATGGCAGTGGCGTGCTTTAATTTTGAATTAGTTTGTGAGTAGCTGAGGAGGGGATGCATCAATAATAGAGAGGAAGCTCCAGAATTTACAGGCAGTGAGATGTGTGTGAGGTGCAGCCTCATAGCGCAGGGCGATGTCAATGACAATCTGTGACAGTGTTTAACTACACTGCCTGGTATGTCGCCTATTGTCTGGCGCAACACGGGGTGCGATTAATCATTCAATATGACCAGATGCCAGCTTATGGTAACCTCACATAAACCGCGCGGAGGCTCTACTTGCTCGCAAACAACAGGATAGTGTTTGATGAATGGCTTCAGGAGGAGTCCTCTGCCCGGATGCGCCAGGTTTGCTCAAGCAGCAGAGGCACTGGGATGATAACAGAGACACGCACATCCCTCGCTGGGCTCTCTGGCATGGATTCCCGGTCCCAACAACCCCCCCTCTCCAACCTCCCACCCACCCCGTCAGCCAATTTCTTTGGCAGGACGCTGGGAGGACTTCATCTTTTACCGATCAGTGTCTTCTAACGCACATACATCTACTCACTCAGCATGTAGAAACTCTCAGGAATGCAGGGGAGAGACATTCCTAAACAAGACGAGATTTTCTTGTCTGATTGTGTTAAATGAGCTGCTTCAGCACTCTCCCATGGGAAAATCCTATCAGTGTCACCAGAGAGCCGGCACAGCGGCAGCAAAGCCTCCGTGACGGCCAACGGAGTGGGAAATGAGGATTGGTCGGTGCGCACGCCGCCGTGATATAGCGTATATTGCGCCGGAGCTCTCCATGGTGCTGAAAACGCTCCAGCCTCTTGCTCCCCTACTCCACTCCACTCCTTTTGCCTTTCCCACTCCTCGCGCTCCAGCCTCTCTTTCTGGATTTGTTGGATTTCCTCTCCACCTGGAAGCAGATACGGAGCCAACATCCAGCAATAGAATTACGGCCATTCATCACTGTGCTATCTGGGAAAAAACTGCTTGTAAATCCCAGCCTTCCAGCTTTATGAGAGCCAGCAGCTCCTCCAACTCTCAACTCAGGCACATAGTCTCACACACACACACACACACACACACACAGACGCACATACATACAGCATGCAAGCACATGCAGAGCCCTGGATCAATATCTCGCCCTGGCTTCTGAATGAGAATATTAATGGCAGCGATTCTCAGCTGGATGTGTTTGCACTGGTTACCTCACAGCAACATGCAACCTTTAGGCATTAGCCTTATAGGGAGGAAATGGAACAAGCAAGCATGCAGACACCAAATGTGGCATATGGCTTCCTGCTGGAGAAGTGACATTTTGTGCTCTTGGATTCAACAGTTGGGTTTTTCATAGCTGAGAGCAGGGGGGAACTTCTAATCACCACTGAGGTCACTTGACTACAATTAAAAGATGATTAAACCAAGTTAAAGAGCACTGCAATGCCAAAATATACACGCAGATCGCAGATTAAATCAGTTTCCAGGCTTGTCTAAATGACGCCTGCAGGTTTTTTTTTTTTTGTTTTTTTTTTTTGGAGCCACATCATGTCTTGAACCCTGTCAGAGCAGTACTGACTGCAGCCCACCCTGGGGTCACAGTCAGCGGGTTGAGAAATAATGATGTAGCCCAGAATAGTGACTCAGTCGGGCTTATTACAGTTTGCAATCTGGTGTGTAACTTATTAGCTGTCTCGCGGAGAGCCATTACAGTGCGGTGTCCAGCAGATTATGGCTGCTTGTTGTGCTTCAGAGACAGCCTAATAGTGGGATGACTCACACACTTACAGATTGACACGGAAGACACACTAGCATATAGCCACACTGGTGTATGCGCGCACACATACACACGGAAACCTTTACTGTAACATCCTGTACCTCCCCCTGCGAAGCACTTATAAAACCCTGCAAAAGCCAGAAGCAGCTTGAAGCAGCGTATGTGTATGGGTGCATGTGTGCAGTGTGTCATGCGTTTTACTTGGAGAAAGCTAAAAATTTCAAGGATGGCAATAAAGGTCTAATCTTGTGCTGTGTATCCAGGCTGAGGCAGAGCTTTCACACACTTCTACAGGTCTTGCATGATAGGCTATTCTTAGTGCAGCAGTCTATTTAACTGTGCCTCCAGGCGCGACTTAGACATATCAACATAAGCATGTAATTTAATTTTTGAGAGGCACTGGCAAACTATCAGCTGTAGTCACCTTTTCCTCTTTAAAGCTCTTAAACTGTGTCAATACTTTTGTTGTTTTACCGTTGTTTATAAGGGATAACTGGAGTTTCTAGTAGTTTTTGTCAGAGTTGCAGTGTTGATGCTTCATCGTGGACGAATACAGTCGCACATTAGCCGAACAAAGTGTGCTGAAAATAATGTATGCACATACAAAGCAACCTAGCTCGCTCTGAAATCAATTTAAGAATATGACGAATGTGATGTTTTATTGATCCTAGTGGAGAAATTGTCTTTGCCCAGCTCCTGAGAGGTCAAAGGTCAGGCTCAGCGAGAGAACAGCAGATAGGAGATCAGCGCCTTGCCCCGGGACATTTCAGCTGAGTGAGCGCTTGCTGACACGAGAGGCTGGGAACAGGTTGTTTTGGCAAAAGCGAATTCTCTCTGCCCACCTGACTTTACTGGCTGTGCACATTCCCGAATACTGAAACAGAGGGAAGCCTGAGTGCTGCAGAAGAATATTCACTGCCTACTTTACATCTTTAACACAAAACAAGCTCAAGCAACACATATGTAGCTCTCAGAGATACCTCACATGCTACTGCGTTCTTGTTTTACGACTAAGGCCTGTTTTCAAGTTGTTTTGTGCAGTGTTTTCAAAGATTTATCTAAAGTTTGCTCAGGTCCAGCAGGTAGATGAAACATTAAAGTTGTGCTTTACAGTGTATTGATTTAAGTCCATTAGAGAGGAAATAAGCTGCAGGACAGAAGATTTTGATGGTTCCAACTGCTATTTCTGTACAAGCCTTAACAGTGAGCAGTGGCTGAAAAAAAACAGTTTTGTGTGCCAGTTTCATGTGAATCTTATTGTGCGTGCACACACGGGCAAGATGTCAAACCAAAAAGTGCTTGTTACTGAAAAACTTTAATGCAAGAAAGGATAGAACAAGGTTTGTTTAAAAGATTTATTTAGAGCGCATGAATTATTAATACGGAGGCAGATTTTCAGGTGGAGTATACACATGCAAATATCAAACTTGTGTGCAATAGTTTTTTTTTCTTAATTCCTACACACAGTGTGACCCAGTCCCTTTTTTATATATTCAAGATAGGTGCTGCCGGCTGTAAACAATCCAGCTATGAAGAGCCCTGGGTGACAAGTCCACGTAAGGTTTAAGGAAAATAAATTACATTTTTCATATCAATTATAATGCCCCACTTGTGAACAGTTGAAATGCTTGGCATCACATCGTCTGAACCCCATGCAGAGCTTGTCTAATCAAGAGCAGATTTATTTCCACACAACAAAGCTATCCCCTCCGGTAAACCAAACCCACTTCCTCTCTTTTTTTTCTTCTTCTTCTTTACGCCTGGTGACTTTGATTTGTTTGGCTTTGCAAATTTCCCAAAGAAATATAATGAGGCGTACTCCAAAACAAAGGTAAAAATGCATTACAGATGGTGCGTCACACTCTTATGGGTTGGCTCTTTCACGATACACTCACGTCCTGATGGGGCTGACGAGATTAGTTTTAAATTGAACTGATAAAACTCTTTCTCATGGGTTTAGCGGGGGGCACAGTGGCACTCACACACACTCATACCCAGAGAAATATAACATGATTAACATGAGGCCTATGACAATGAGAAGCACTTAATATGAATGACACTGAAAGCGAGGAGGACCTGTGACATGCACCGTTAGATTCTGTATCCTTTTTATTCCGGAGACATATTACCGTGCCCGTTGGCTCACCTGATGAGTACTCTGTACTCCCCGTAGAGAGCAGGGCCACAAAATGTGGGCAACACGGTTCACTTGAAATTCCGATCACTAATGTTGAACTTCTAGAAATGACCTTTACCGCCGCATCCCACATGAACACAGCAGCTGAGCTCAGAGCATCAGCAGCGCAGCTCTGAGCAAATAGTGCTCGCTGCCTCCTCTGCCTGAATGGAGGAAACTGACGAAAGAGTCAGCCGAGAGGGAGAAATGCATAAAGGGGTTACGGAAAGGTCACCTGGCATATCTGTTTTCTGCAGTGAATTTAGTCAGCCATCTGCCTGTCCCTTTTAGGCAGTCAAAGCTCGCCCGGTTTATTAAAACTTTATAGCGGTGCTTTTGCTTTGAGTTTCTGTTGTCATTTTGCATTGGGAAAGGCGGTGTGATTCAAATCTGTTTGAAATATTACTTAACTCCTTTCAATAAACAACAAGTGAAAACATTCAACTCGTAAAGTGGAAAAAGTCTGAGACTGAAATTATTAGTGATCACCTTCCTTTGTTATGGTAATGGTTTGGTGATAAGGCAAAAGGAGAAGATGAGATACCACTGAGAGACACTGAATCTACATGAAGATTGAATTCTATCAAGAAATCTTTAATGTAATGTTCTGATCAGCTTTAATGTAGACTCTGAAAAGTGGTTGAAAGTTCTGAAAATGCAAGTAAGTGGACATTTGAGTTGAGTCATCTTTTCACACATACTGCTCCTGGTCAGGGTCAAGAATGAAAGTGAACCATGCTGAAGTCTTTAACCTGATATTTAAAGCTTTATAAAACAAAAATCTGACATTTTTCAATGCCTCCAAAAAATCATATTATGATCACATGACTGTTTGACTTTATTTGCCAATCAATCATTCAGGCTAGAATGATCAGATACATAGGAAACAGTATATGCA